CTAAGTTGAGCACGAAGCTCCTATCTAATGGCAGACGTGCCAGTCTTATATAGAACCTTCATCCTCAAGTACTATGATCTGGGTAGCCAACTCGCCTGTCGAGCTGGCGGTCCGTTTCGCTAGGTCGCCGAGCGACCCAGCGATCCAACTTAATCATGTGACCATAACCAATGGAAATCCCTGGATCGCTTAGCTACCCTAAGCGATCCCTATTTGCTATAAGAAACCTGGGTATGCCTGTCGAGGGTTGCGCCTCTTATTATGACAAGTATCACGTGAGCACGTGATTCGTGACACTACTAAAGGTAATAATTAAATATAAATAGTAATTTTTAAAAGTATTTTAGGTAAATAATACCCTATGTGACAGACGTGCTTCAGGTAGAACTCAGAACAATTAACACTCTATTCTTAGGACAAAAGACGAGGAAAGAAGGAGAGCTCTAGTGAGCTGGGAACTAAATACAGGTCGTGCGCGCTAGCGCCTCGCTAAGCGAGCATGTGACATCCAGCCCTCGTGACCATAACCGTCACACCCTAGGAATAAATTAAATAAAGTACTTTACTATTCTTTTATAAATAATTTTAAGACTATTATAAGAATAGTAATAACTAATAACTTATTTAAAGCTATTATAAAAACTATAGTAATTAAGTACTAACTACTTAAGTTAGTAAAAGTATAAAAAAATAGGTATTTATATAAAGAAAGCCTAAATAAAGAAATAAGTCTTCTTTAACCTATATATAGCCCTTAATTACAACTCTAGTAGTATTCCTTTATTAAAGAACTTAGATGAAAGAGTATAAGTACCTCTTAGAGTATATTCCCTAAATAAATAATATAAATAAGAAGTACTAATTATAATTATAATAGTTATAAGTTAAGTCTTTAATAATTAATAAATAAAAAGATACAGATTTAATAAAAGTTAAATTTATTAAAATAAAGATACTATACTCTAAGTAGTATTACTCTTTAGCTAGAGTAGATTTAATTCTAATTTTAAGTAACTCTTAAAGCTTAGGATTAACTTTATATAACTTCTAATTAAGTAAGCTAGTAAGTAAGCTTTTATCCTAAAAGTTAATTAACTAAATAAAGTTTTTAAATTTAATTTATAAAAGATTTTTAGTTATTTTATCTACAGGTATATCCTTAGTTAGAATATATATAAGCTTAAAGCTCTTCTATTAGTACTTCTATTATAGTTGTATATTTTAGATATTAATATAATAGAGCTTAGTAGATATATACTAGTATTCTTTTATAACTAGATAAATTATTTATATATTATTATACTATATTATCTATAAATCTTTTACCTAGAGCTAAAGCTCCTTAAATAACTAATAAAGTACTATAGTCTCTATAGCTAGGGTTTTAACTCTAATTAATTTAGATTTAGTAGAAGACGTAGTAATAGTATCTTATTAAGTAGCTTTCTATATAATTAACCCTCTGAATAGTAAAATAATATATTTATAAAATAAATATCTTATTTTTATATTATTAGTAAATAAGGTATTAGAAGCTATAATTAAAAGATCAGATTTATATTCTACTAAAAACTTAATTACTAAGAACCTTATATTATAGCGATAGCTAATAGTCTATTCTACTACTTGGATATAGATTAGAGATAGATTAGTTAGGAAATATACAAGTACTAAGTAAGTAAAAGTAATATCTACTCTAATTATTATCTTAGAGTATAAGATAGACCTAACCTATTACTAGAAGAGCTTAATTATGATAGCTATTATATTCTTTTTAAATTTATAGAACTTAATCCTAAGTAAAGGAATACTTAGGCTAGTTTTATTTATAAGCCTAAATTAGCCTACTACCTTTTTAATATATATATTATATAAGAGCTAGAGTTTCTTTACCCTTCTATTTCTAATAATTCTTATACTAAGAAACTACTTAATATTATAAAGGTTATATAGTTTATATATTTAGCTAAGCTTAGTAATTAAGGTCTAGGCCTTAAGTTTATTTATTTTATAATATATAAACTAGATATTATCTATAAAGAATAATATAAAGATAGTATAGTTCTTAGTTATATACATATAGAGCTCTTTTATATAAGGAATTATTCTAAGGATATCTTTTAAAGTAGTTTTAAACTTATTAAACTAAAGCACTAAAGAGTCTTAGAGTCTATATAAGGTATAGTTAATTTTAATACTATTCCTTTCTTTTTA